TACTGTGTCCATTTACGATGGACAATATACAAATTATTTCTCTTTCTATAGAATAGAGAATAAATAGAATAAGCTTTTATGATAAATATTATTTGTTGCAATACATCATGCACACGTATCTGCTTGCACACAATGACGTCATGTTCTTGTACTTCACAAGACATCATTTCAAAAGAGAGCTATTATCTCATGGTCTTCATGCAGTTTTAGCTTCTTAAAAGACACCTATGCTCATTCAAGGTATTATCTATTAAGAGTAAGATTATCTTTTACTGTTCTTATCTTATAAGAGTCAATTCAACCTTTCGATTAGTAATATCGACCTCTGTGTCACTGCACAAATCACTTAGGGCTCTTGCTCCTGACTTGCTCAAAAACCACCGCAAACACGCCGATATTCTTTTAACTTACTGGCAGCCTATGGTAGAAACGTTGATATGTCTGCAACGTCGCAATGGGTATCATCGTATTTAATATTTTAATCTCGTAGGGGTTGTCCTGAAAGTTTTTTCTTTCTCTTGATATCTGTCGATGGATAGAGAATTTCATTGGGGTGCAAAACTCTATATTAAATTAGTGCACTAATCAATTGTTCTTTGATATCTTTTATGTCTCTGAAAAAGATAGAGTACAAATAATGCGAAATAAAAATAAATATAGGATAAATTATAATGATGATCAATAATTTAATCTAGTTTCAAGGGTATGGATGTTATTGTGAAAATTACAGACATTAGCAAGGGAAGAAAAAGGAGCTAAACACTATTTTTTTTTGCCTTGATAAAAACGTATACTCAAGATATCAAGGATGACAGGTAACAATGTATTGGTTTGTCACAGTTGTTATATAATTAATATCACTGTTTGTGAGTTGATTGAGACGTATTATAGTGCATTAAGTCCTGTGTCTGTAGATTTGATAAATAGGTACAATAGGCGTATTTATCATTGAATTCAATGCTTAGAATAATAACAATTTTAAATTAAGAAAAGCGAAATGTGACTAGCAACAATGAAAAGAAGAAAAATGGTACGAGTGAATCATTTTGCATATCATATATTAGTATAATGAGGCTAAAGAACACATATAAATTCTACATTCTAACTGCGAAGGAGCTACGCTAATAAGTTGTTTTTCTCTTTTTCTTTGTCACATTCACATCGTAATGCAATTCTTTGACCCGCGGTAAAAGAAAATATGTAAAGAAAGTAGAAGTTTTTTGTTTTCTTTGTGTTAATTAAATCATACTTCAATATTTAATGGAATATGAAAATAACTCGCAGAAAAAAATATGTTCATTGAATGTGGATGACTACTTTGAGCGCTCTTGTATAAACAGAATCTGTTTCTTTCTTTCTATAATCATTAATAAGCTTGGATGCTTATTTTCCGATCATCCCAATTCTATAAACATTTTTTTTCATCGACAAAAAATATCAATCATTGACTACTACGTTTTGTGTCAATTATTTTCTAGGTTACTCGAACATTCATGATTGTTGTCTTGAATATTTTCATTTCAGTTTGATTTATTTCTTGTATCACATTTACTTCGATCATCCTAATCTACAGTTGTATCCCATACATTGATGCGATACTTTTTCTTTCTCATAATCTTCGAGCTATTAAAGGTAAAATATGTGGGTGCGATTTGGCCACCTTCAAACTTGTCAAACATTCAATTATTGGGACTCTTTCAAGATTCATCAAATGAATTTGAATCGAATACATTATCCGTTCATTCTCGAGCTATGTTTAAAGCAGCAATATTACTCTCACAACAATATCATCTGACAATTGAAGGACAATCGATTGGATGGCAGACAGCAGAAACTAGTGGTAATGTGATCAATGCTTTAAGTAGTACATGTCGAGCAATATCCACATCAAATATTGTTGGTATTGTCGGACCGGCACTTTCACGCGAAGCTCATGTTATTGCTCATTTTGCTAAAGCTATTGGTATTCCTGTTATATCCTATTCTGCAACGGATCCAGATTTATCTGATCGAAATATTTATTCGACGTTTTATCGTACAGTTCCTTCGGATAATACAGCCGCATTATCGATTACAAAATTATTCATGCGATTTAATTGGACATCGTGTATCATTATTTATCAAAATGATGCATTTGGATCTGGTGGTGAAAAAGCAATTATTCGAGCATTTCAGAACAACGGTTTGATCGTTAGAAAAAGTCTTGTATTCGATATAACGACACATCAAATTCGAGGTGATTTGAAAAATGAATTAATTAGTAGTTCAACACGACTGGTCATATTATGGGTTGAATCTACTTTTATATCTCTTATTTTACAAAAGGCTATTGATCAGGATGTACTTGGTCCACAATTTACATGGATATTACTATCAAATGTTCCATTGAATTCGTTCGATCAAAATTCTTATCAAAAGTTAATCGGTATGCTGACCATAGAACCCACTATCGGATATATTGTTAATACACCCATTAACTCAACATTGTTAGATGCTGCGTACAATATTTGGAAACAATACGAACCTGAATCATTCCCTGGACGAAAAAAAGTAAATAATCATGCATTATTTGCATTTGATGCGACTTGGTCATTGATTCAGTCTTTGGAACGATTTTGTTCATTAACGAACACTTGGCCTTCCTCATGTGTATCGGTTCTCAATTCTTCATTCTGTTTTGATCATCGTTTTCTTCATACAAATACATTTTTCGACACAACTATGAATATGACATTTCTTGGTGTATCTGGTCCAATTCAATTTAATACAAATGTAACTGATCGAATCAGTGGTAATTATTATTTAGTACAAAATATTCAACCGTATGAAAATCATATCGATTATGTGCCTGTATTAGAATGGTCTGATATAGACAACTGGAAATCGTCTTCACGAAGAAATGTTATTGTATGGCCTGGTAATACACTAATACCTCCTACTGGTCATCCATCTCTTTCTAGTACGAGATTACGAATTGGTGTCATTGAATCGAAACCTTTCACAATGATTACGAATGTTATAGATGAGTTTGGACAAAGTACAACAAAATTAATTGGTTTTGTGCCTGATCTCATTGATCTTTTACAAGAAAAAATGAAATTTATTCATCAAATTTTATTAGCACCTTCAAATCAGACCTATGCTGAACTAGTTAGAGCAGTAATAAATGGTGATTACGATATTGTTATTGGTGATGTTACTATTACGGCTAGTCGACGAGAAAAAGTCGGCTTTTCAAATTCAATATTTGACAATTCTTTACGTATTATTATGCGAAAAAATATTGATGATAATGTAGACTTTCTTTCATTTTTAAGACCATTCTCATTTAGTCTCTGGATATTACTTTTTATTACAAGCATTTATGCTGGTGTTTTGATCTGTATATTAGAGCGACCAGAAAATGAGGCATTACACGGTAAATCAATCATTTCTTCAACTGCTATGAGTCTGTGGTATGCTATTGGCACTATTATGGGATATGGTGCTGATTTTCATGCAAGCACTGCAGCCGGGCGATTATTAACGCTTGGTCTTTATTTCTTAAGTTTGGTATTAGTAGCGACATACACTGCAAATTTAGCATCAGATCTAACTATATCAAAATCGAAATCTCTTATTACGAGTATTGATGATATAAAAAATGGTAAAATACCATTTCATCGTATTGGTATTCGTATCGGTACAGCAGGTGAAGAATATTATTTACGAGAAATTTCTGGTGGAAATCGAAATTATTATTCCTTAAAATCTCGACAAGAACTCTATGAAAGTCTACTAAACGATATTATTGATGCATCTTTTATAGACACCGGTGTCGGAGAATATATAACTAATACTTTCTATTGTAATTTAACTCTGATTGGTGCAGATTTCGATAAGGGTGCATTTGGTGTTGTTCTTCCTAAACAATGGGTGTATGGACAAGAGCTTGATGTAAGCATATTATCATTACGAGAGTCAGGTGCTCTTGATGATTTGAAAAGAAAATGGTTTCAAACCAGTAGTTGTCCTGATACATCTGTTGCATCTACTAGTACTGCCATTGAAACCATGAGTGGCTTATTTCTTACATTTGCAATGATTAGTGTTCTATCATTACTTTTATTCGCATGGAAAAAACGTTTTATTATACAAAATTATCTATGGAAACGATTATGTCGAAAGGTTTCTCTCGCATTCCAAGATACTTCGACGATACGACATTCAACCGAAATTTCGAAATATTCTGAAAGTACTAATCCAGTTTCATGCTCGAAGGCATGTTTTTGACCAAAATATAATGTCTGCATTTCAAAAATGAACTTAAATTTGTTATTTACCATATTTTGTGATATAGCCAGGATGTTGCTAATGAGAGAGCTGAATATAGCTTGTAGCTTCTAGTGCATATACTTGATATCTGAGTTCAAAAGTCTAACTGATAAAACTTATCGTTCCCTTCTCTTTCCTTCCCTGCCACAACATTTGAACTTTCACAATTAGAAGAAACGATTGTAATAGACATGAATAGATGTCTTGAATAGTGAAGAATATACAGATAATATCGATGAACGCGGCTACCTTCGAAAACAATATTCATCAAGCAAAATGAGAATAAACACATCTTCGAATAGTAGCAACTCAAAGATTTGTCTTTGTTTTACTACTCAGACTCTCATTATGAAAGATACATTATGAGATACTGCTTATACTACATTTCATCGCTAAGGACAACTCTACTCTGATCTGATAACTTTAACCTCTTGAAGCCCGAGAATTCTTGCGTTCTATTCGAAGCTAGAGAAAAATTAAAAAATCACTTTCTTTTGCGTTCTGTCACTCTCAATCAGCTGTATATATGTTCTATATTTTATCATTTATGTCGCATGGATTTGTACTGTCGTCTTGATATTATGTCTGTATTATATAATACGAAAGAAACAAAATGTTTCAAAAAAAAACAAGTCTTATGACATAGAAAAAATAGTTTTGTATGTTCACAACGTCTTATATTTAAAATGGATAAGGAGAATGTTTTTGATGATGAAAGCGATAGTGAAGATGAGGAAAAAGTTATGCTGAATCTGCCTGATTCAGACGTCGATGAGATTGAAGATCAATTGAACGGCATTGGTTTGAAGTACGAGAGTGAAGAATATAGGTGATAAATCAACTTTGATGAATATACAAATAACAAATTAAATTTATCATCTAGTGATGATGATGCATATCTTCCTCATGAGATGAACAAAGTGATGCTCAATAAAAGTAAAGATTATGAAAGTGAAGAGTATAGGTAAAGATAAATCCATTTTCATTAAAATCAGACACATATTATGATTATGTAGTGATGATGATTGTATATATACAGGAGTGCCGAAAGAGTTGGTTCAAAAAAAATTGGAAGCGCCTGGTTCTTGCTTTATGAGAAGTGGAGAAGTACTGATGATTAAATTTCTAGACAAAAAAGCTACTGGTGATAAAGAAATCTATGTGGTGGACTCGAAAGGTACAGCTGGTATCTTGCAAGTGGAAAGATTCGAAAAAGGTACTCTAATTGCTTTGCTGTTGGTCACACTCTGAAATTATTTATAGGTGGTGTGAAAAAATTCGTTTCTAAACCATCATCGATTATTGATTACAATCGAAATATGGGAGGAGTGGATCTAAGCGATAGTTCGCTTCATCACGCACGTATGGATAAAAAGTCATATCGGTGGTTTCTGAAACTGGGCATCCATTTTATCGGCCGACTTCTCTTCAATGCTTTTGTCATGTATCGAATGTATGATTCCAAAGCTCGGTTTTCGAAATTTCTAATGTGGTAAGAAAATTTTCGAGTTCCATTGCTTATCTTTTTGATAGTTTCGTTCGAGATACTATGGAATCAACAGGAATCGCTAGAAAATCCTTGAATGAATTTACACCATCTCAAAAACGTATTGCATCTGTGCCATATAGTAATATACCTCAAAAACTTTTGAAAGTTCAACATTTTTCAAGTAAGTTTGAAGTACGTTTCTAATGAATCTGTGTTCTTATTTTTGAATTTAGGCAAGACAGATTATAATGAAAATCGGCAGGGTCATGTTCAAAAACGCTGTGTATTATGTCGTTCGAAACAAGTTCGAAAACAAACTATCTATTTTTGTCGGACATGTCCTGATACACCTGCTTTGTGTTATCCAGACTGTTTTGATGCATTTCATAGTAAAATATAGTATAAACTATAACATGATCTAAAAAATAGGAGCATAATATCGAATAATTATTGAACTAAATTTAGTTGATATTTTCTTCATAGTTAGAAGAAAATAATCAATAATCACCATCGACTGAATGAACGATCCTCTATCCATTTTCTGCTTTTTAAACATATGTTCAACGATAGGACAGAACGAAAAAAAAATTCTTTCGTTCTGTTTGTCTTCAGCCTGAAGACAGCGGTCCCCAAGAGGTTAACAGTTATTGTAAAATTGACTTGTGGCTTGAAAATCTTTTGAAAAATACCATTAATAGGAAGCTGAAAAACTTTTTTTTTCGAGAAATTTTCTCCAAAACTGCTATCGACATCTAGGCTCAGTCCTTCATTCTTGTGAATTATGCGAAACTCAGTATGTCGTTCTTTCATATTCTATATCTCACGAGAGATATAGAAAGGAGTATTCATCTAGATTATGAGAGAGTTCAGCTCACCTCCGAGCTCACTCATGGCTCAGGCACTAATCGTATTGCATATAAGATCATTTAAAATAAATCAGAGAATGTGATATACATGGATTTGAATGATTGGAAAATACGAAGTTGATCGATTTCAAATTCGCTTCTTCGACTCGGTTGATCTTTTAAAGTGAAATCTCATGAAAGACATTCGCATTATATTTTCAAAATTTCGATACAAATGCTGATCATGATTAATACACCAGTAGAGATCAACAACGGTTCATTATCAAGTACTAAGAATGTACTTATCTATTTCTCACACGCTGATGATCAATAGAAATCAAGACGAAAAATTCAAATAGCATTTCACGGAGATATTGTCGTTCAAGACATATTTCTTAGTGTAATCCGATTATTTTTTATTCTAACACAAGAAAAGGGAACCGTGGAACAAACAAACACGTGATAATTGTTTGCAAGCATTGCATCAGAACCGACTTTTAATGGTTATATGATATATTTAATATTTACAACTATCGTTAGAAACTACTAGTAAAACATGTCATCTTTCAGTAGTTTATGCTTCAAATTTATGAAATTTTTTTATGAAAAAGAAAACGCGATAAAGATGAAAAAATAAATTCACTTTCGATACAGTGTGACAGTCTGATGTAAATGTAGAACTTCTTGACGAAAGGTGTCAGTGTCCAACGGCCTAAAGTTGACTTATGTCGACGATGAACATTTTGAAAAGAGTAACAACATCCAGACGACAACAAATGCCATCGAAGAATGATTTCCTCGAAATGCAACTGTGAGAAAGTGACGAAATTCGTCGGCGATCAAATCATGCGTACGAGTTGTAAAATGAACATCATCAAAAAAGACATAAGATTCTGGGTTTCGACAAACAATGATGGATTCAGATGATGGATTCCAACATGGACGCGTTGTATTTCTGAATCCATAGTAAGAAGCATTAACAAGAATCTTAGTCATAACTGCATGAATATCGAAGACTTTTACAGATAGATCTAGATTGTTTGTTTGTAGTGCTCTAATGTTAGTGCAAAGATAATCATTGTATTGACGTGTAAGACTAATAAGTGAGATATTTGAGTTGAAATTCTGAAGGGATGGGATGATTTGAGGGGGTGGTTGATTGAAAACGATAATATGCTTCGCACCAAAGATCATAAGAGCTTTGACTGTAGTTAACAGATTATTGGCGATCATGAACACACTCAAGGTCTTATTAAAAATATAATCATGGCCACGGACCCAAATAACATAGAAAGTGTGATAAAAGTCGATTGTACTAGTATTCATACTATCTATGTAAGTCTTTGTCTGTTGGCGAACACCGGCTACAACTGGAACGTAAGACTTTAGGTGACCTGTCACCAAGTTGTTGTCGATAGTTGCACCTTCATGCGCATAAGTAATTAGTATGGACACATTTCATTTTTCCACCCAAACATGACCATTCGAAAATCTACCTTGAAAAAAAAGAGTAGGCGAAAATCGATTTTTTGTCATATGGTAAATATTTCCTGTATCTGAGTTCGAATCTCCAAAGACCACTATTGTATTGAATTGGGTTGTCTTCATATTCATTGGATAAATGTAGTGTACGATGATCGAAAAGGCTCACAAGAATGTGATAAATACAACGACACATTCCTCGTATTGAGCGTTTACTGGGTTTCATGTAGGTAACCTATTTATTACTGAAATAATAGAAGTTAAAGCTGCTTAAAGTTTCACCTATGTACAACATCGTTTGAGATGTAAGGTTTTCGTTGACGACCAATTAGAACATCTGTGTCCTTGATACGTCAAATATTTGATCACCTAAACTCGACATATACATAACATATTCGAAATTCGAGAATTCTATTTTTTTGCACGGTCAAACCATCAATATAAAGAGAAAGTTATATACATATTTATTCATCGTGATGTTTCTTTGAAAGTACGTATATATTTTAACGCTGGTACTGTGTCTGACATTCTCTTATGTCCACAATATTTGAAGTAAAGTTGAGAATTAAATTCCGCCTGAGAATTAGAGATAATAAAACGCGTGAGAAGAGGTATTCTGAAGAATATCGTCGTCGACTTTTAAAACTTTTCTAGAAACTAATGAAATTCGGGTTGATAATGGAACTGTCATGGAAACACAGGAAAGCTCTAACTGCATTTACATACCTTTTCTATACTCCCCACCAAATTCGACTCGTTTTCAGATGTAAAATTGCGCTACTCATATGAACATATAGCCTGAAGATTCATCTATGTCCTAGATCTGTTTCAAAAAAAATAGATTATATGATTGTAGTATATCGATGAGCTATTGCTACTTATGGAGAAGAGCATTTGTATTCTGCGTTCGATCGATTGAAGTGCAAAGACCATTGAATCAATAGATTTTCAGGAAGAGTCAATTGGTAAATGATGTTGTTTCAATTGTGCAGTAGTGTCCAAAATTATAAGAACACCTGCTCAAGTCGAATTACTGCTTCTGTTTCGACTAGTAAATACTCATGTGACGAGAAAAATCCACCTGTCAGAATATGAATTTGAATTCGCTCGGAATACTTTTCAAGTTTGAGAAAAAAAATGGTGCATCAAAACTACTTGTTTTATTGTTTGTGCATAATTATAAGAACTTAGATTTTAGTTAAAAAATTACATAAAATGTAGAGGAGCTGCTTTCGCTCATTCCTACTTATAAAAGTTGAAAGAATACATTTATTTGAACGCAGCATAATATTTTATGAATCAAGTCAAAATAACTTGATAATATCGTCCAGTTGAGTTTTTGAATGGAAAAAGTAAAAAAGACGTAATCGTATGCTTTATTTAAAGGATTTGAAAAGACGATATTTGTTACTTCAAAAGAGATACTTCTTCCGAGTTCCGCAAGTTATTCTAGCACAAAGGTACATATCTATGCTAAGAAAGAGACAACTATTGTCAGTAAGATTGCATAGAAGTCATTTCAATTTTTCTACTTATCGAGCGCGAGTGTTGGTGATAATGAAGGTATGAATATGCCATTGAGATACTTTTTCAGGCAATCCAACTGACGATAACACACATTTTCACACATTCATACCCATACTCCACAAAAGCAGTGGAAGAAAACAAAAATTCACAATACCGTAAGAGAGCAGTGTTTTCGAACATTCTTCAAGTGACCAGTGTTTGTTTTTAACAAGTGAATGAATCTTTCACTGTATGATACTGATTAAGGTACGCATAAGAGTTTTGAAAAGATTTTTAAATCTACGAAAATATATCGACATCTATAGTAAAGAAATATTATTTTTGTCGAAAATGTTCGATGCCAAAATATCGAACAATTTGAGAGGAAATATTCTATCAATCTTTTGATTCCATTCACTATTTATCATGGATGTGATGCTCGCGCCAATGCCAGTAGATTACTGTTCTGTTGTTGTTTTTTTACTACTTTCAACTAGTAAACTACTCGTTTTTTCTTTCTCATTCTGATGCTGGTTCGATAGACAGTTTGCCAACAGTGTCACGAGAAGAACTATGGCAGTTGCGAGTGACTCATATTATTTGTGAAATCGATTATATTTCATCATCCGAGCTCACGCAAAATAATCAACATTCCACCTCTAAATCCTTCTCTCAATGCTAATCGCTTCATTTATCCATGAAAGTGTGAATGAGGAATTAATGGGTCGAGGAAATATAGTTTATTGTATGTTTACTTACCCAGCAGCATAGCAGAAAGGGACTATTTTCGAATGGAAACTTTGATAGAATTCACTAGAGCAACAAATGTGTTTTTTACCAATATTCTTTTCTTTTTAGAAACAAAACGTAAATTACTGATCAAAGCTTTATCACTGCAACCTATCTGTTCCAGTTCAGCCTCCTGTCGAACTCAAACTAAAATTCATACTTTTGAAAATGGATCGTCGATTTGATCATATTCTCGAAATCTGTCGAAAAATTTCAAGATGTCCAGGTGTTCACTCTGTTATTGCTATGCAAGCAGCTGGATTTGTATATACAAACGTTGGTGATACAGTTCGGTGCGATGACTGTCAACTAGAAGTGTCCGATTGGACAAATACCATGGTTCCTTTTACTATTCATGCGGAACGCAGTCCAAACTGTGCATTCATTCGCTCGGTACGACAGTCCAATGAAGTTGTCCCTTTATCATTGTTTACTTCACCAATCACTAGTCTAAGTGGAATCAATATAGAATCAACCGATGAGCACATTTCCGAAAATCAACAGCTCGACGAAATCGAAGTAGAACTTGATCCTCTTAAGTTTGCAAATTCAGAAGCAGTCGAACAAAGTCGTCGTCAAACTTTCTTAGGAGGGGCTCCTGAATGCCCATCGTGTCTAGAACGGATGATCAAAGCCGGCTTCTTCAGTTGTAATATTGATGATCGGGTCATTTGTCTTTACTGTAACCTCATTTGTCATCAATGGGTACCGCATAGCGATGATCCATGTGAGGTACATCAAACACTCTCACCCACATGTCCTTTTGTGAAAAACATGC